CCCCCCCCCCCTCCAAAACAGTGTTACTATTTTAACTCACTGGGATTTTAGGTTAGCAAACAGAGCATTGACTCAGAACAAATGAACATATAAACCGAAAAATCGTTTTGCTTCTCTGTTTGAACCCTAAATGTAAACAGAATTTTTTAACAAAAAAGCATGCATACATACATCTTTCAGTAGTGAACTTCTGCTCCAAGACAGTTATATACAGTTGTAGGGTCAGTTGCGGGGCAGAGCCTAGGAAAGCCTGTATCACTGATGCCCGACTGAATGCAGAGCGATGGGTAAACAGCTTGCCTTCTGCCTGGCCGACCTCTTTCTCGACCTCCTCTGAAAGACCATCTTTTGGTATCTGTCGTTTCTTAGTGATGCTCACATAAGGTTCTTCATTCTGGTTGGACTGACAGTAGATGCAAAAGACTTCACAACACCTAGAAACAAATCAATGAGTCACAGACATTAATGACTGGCAGAATTCTGTCCTTTCTCCCTATCATCCTGTTTTCACTCAGCCCGATTCTCTTGCCTGGCTACTATAAATCTCTCCAAATCATTCACTCTCAGGATCAGTAAGAAGGAGTTGCTTTCTCCAAGCCCTCCAGTAGACCAATAAGAACTGAGAATCAAGCAAAGGTGACACTGAAAGCTACCAAAGCTAAGAAAAGTAGAGAATGGGAAGTACTTCACACTCTAGAGATCCTCAAAAACACTTGGTTTTCTTCTGGAAACATCAACTGTGCAACTGTAGGCAAAGCACTTACCTGAACGTTTCCCCTCAATCATAAAATAGAGAAAATACCTTGTCGTCCTGCTGTGAAAGAGAACTAACAGGGTGTAATGCTGTTTGTGTGTAAATGTTCCACAGTTCCACATAAAACAAATGCCACAAATCCCCCTAGTTTAGTGTGTGTGTGTGTGTGTGTGTGTGTGTGTGTGTGTGTGTGTGTGTATGCAGGCTCAGCACTCTCTAGAGTCTGGAGACTAGAGGCTGGGCAGAATGGCTGTCAAGAGTTCAAGGCCAGCGTGGGCTATATGATAAGTTCCAGACGAGCTGCAGATGAGTCTAGGCTATAGTAAGGGGCTACAGGGGGGGATCAGGAACATGAATAAATTTGGATAAGTGTACAGCACAGAGTTGCTTGTCATTTAGAATTTCACTGGACGACCACAACATATTACCTATTTCTTAGCCCTAATAAGCCCATATAGGCCACAGCTAAATTCCACCTTGCCCAGGGTTTGGCAAATATCTTATTTAAGTAATTCCAAACCTGCTCTAGGGACAGATCCTTCACTAGTGACTAAAATTTTCCTCTCTAGATAATAGATACTGATGGAAAGAGAAAGTACTGATGCCTATGATTTACTCTGAAGCATACACAAATACATATATAGAGAGATACATAAATGGAGAGAGAGGAAGAGAGAGATTGAGATTGAGTCGATGCATGGAGAGATGGAAAGATATATGAAACAAAATGTTAATTGTAGAATTTAGTTTGTGGGTCCTGGAGTGTGTACGTCAGTAAGATTTTCTTCTGTGTGCTTGAAAACTTGCATAATGAAGTGCTGGAAAAACAGATTTTTCCCAAGAGCTAGAAGAATGCTCATGGCCTTGGGTTTCAACACTGAAAGACTTTTATGCCCTGAAACAGGCATTTTTATAACAATCTTACAATGCTGCTAAATTTTATGGCTTCATCAGCTTTATTGACTATTGTTAACTTTATATTATCATCTGCAGGTATCTATGACAACCTAAGTACATTTGTCATTTGAAATAGTAAAGCCCTTGATGTACAAAAAGAAATATAAGAACCTTTCTGGTGAGCACAAAGGACAGATTTCATAATTCTTACCTTTCTTCACTTGTTTCTTGGGAGGTGTGTGGTTTGTGAAAGAAGTAACAACCTTGTAACATATATGTAATCAAATATGTTTTCATATAGTACATCAAGACATGGCAGGGTAGCAGTCTACTTTATTCTGAAGAAAATGATAATACTTTTTAGTTCATGAATTCAAGCCCATCTCCTCCAAAATGTAAACCTTTAGCTGACCACTGAACACTCCTCAATACTGTTGGACCATTGAAAGAAGCAAAGTATAGAAGACAGAATAAAATGGCCATGGTATTTATTCTCAAAAAGGTGATCCTAGCAAATGTACTTTACTTAGAGAGTTTGAAGACTCTAAGTCCGTTCATTCAGAGGGGTTCACTCTCTAGATGGGGTAACGGGGCATAGACAGAATAAGTATAATACATAACGAAATCTTACAAAGAAATCTTACTACAAGAATTTAAACCAGCATCATCTGTAATAGCAAAAGAATGGGATTATTTTAGAAGTCCTCAAAATGTAATGGTAATTAAATATATCAAAGCACATCCACTCAAATACTATGTAGTTATCAAAACTGAGAACTGAGAAAAACACAAGACTTTTGGGCTTGTGAAATGGCTTGGTGGATCAAGGTATTTGCTGCTAACTAAACCTGAGCACTTGAGTTTAATACTTGAGTCTCTCTCACGTGGTGAAAAGAGAGGACTGACTCTCCCAAGCTGTCCTCTGACCTCCACACAAACACAAAGCCATGTGTACATGCACACAAACGCAATCAATCAATCAATCAATCAAAATTTTAAAAATTAAATTACTTGGCTTAATAATACAGTCTGCTTAGCATGTGTTAGGCCCTAGGTTCAATCCTCAACACACTTAACTAATTAAAATAAAAATGAATATACATTTATCATATTTTATAAAATAGTTTATCATATTTGATAAGGGGAGCAAATTATAAGAGAAAATTTACACATATAAATGTATACAAACTATACATACATACATACATATAAACAGTAGAATGATAGAACTGAATTCAACTGATTCAAAAGTGTCAATTGTTAAATAAAAACTGTATACCTTAGTTATTAAACAACTAGTATCTTGGTTAGACTTGATGGGGATAAATGTATTTTGAGAATTAGCAAACCCTTGAAATCCAACCTCATTTTCCCTGACAGTTTACAATCATAAACACACAAACACACACACACACACACACACACACACACACACACACACATATATATATATATATATATATATATATGCAAGTATATACAACAAAATCATTAAGAATTATTCTCTTTAAGCAGTTGAGTTAAAGGTTTTATTTTCTTCATTGTGCAAATATTTTATGTTTCTCTGTTATTATAACAAATATTCTTTACTTGTGCTATAAAAGTCAAACTTTTTAGAACTTTTAAGAGCAATATAAACAACTAAAATGGCAAAGCATGCTAAAAGCTGCTGAATTAAATGAATGAAGGAAATAAGGGTTTATAGAGTAATGTAATTCTATTGATGCCTGAGGTGACTATGTAAAACAGAGATCATTTATAGAATTTTTAAATGAAAGTTCAGAGATCAAGCATCCAAATGAAAAAAAAAAGGTTCCAGGAACAAAACAAAACAAAACAAAATTAATGGCACAGGTAGTCCTGAAGGTGGAGCTTCTCATAATCCACTGCTTTTCTTAAGTGATACATTTGTCTCTTTCTCCTCTTTAAGACAGTGTCTCTCTATGTAGTCCCTAGCTGGCCTAGACCTCAGTATGTAGACCAGGGTGGCTTTAAACTCACAGAGATCTGCATATCTTTTGAGTGCTGAGATTAAAGGTGTGTGCTACCACACCTTAACATAGCTTCATACTTTATATCTTATAAATCTGTGAACCGTCCCAAGACCTCTTCTTACTAGCACTTAAGAAAATTAAGAGAAAAACTACTACAGTTCTCTTGTTCTCTTGAAATTCTGCCAAGACTTATCCAGTTATTACAATTTTGTTGAGAGTTTGTTTTCATTGTTGATTCTCTGTAAGAGCTGCTTGACTAAAATCACCCAAGGTAAGGGCTACGCATGTAGCTCAGTGATAGAGGACCAGCATCTTTCAAAAAAATTAATCAAGGTAGTTCTTCAGTATCATGTACTTCTTGGCTCAGGAAGTTTTTGTATAATGTATATACAAGTAAGTAGTTTAGGTTCTACAGGCTTCTGTTCAACTCTGTCTCTGCATTGTTAAAAGGAGTAATCTATAAAGGAATGACTACAGTTGTGTTCCAATAAAGCTTTATTTACAGATAATTTGGCCAGAGGAACATAGTCTGTAGACCCCATGATGATCCCTGCTGAAAAAAATTAGTAATTTGACCCAACTTGTTTTTTACTTAGTTTCATTACCAAGCATAATATAACTCAATTGTCAACCATAACAGCAGTTTGTACCTTAGCTGAAACCAGGCATGTTGATGACAGCACGAAAAACTTGAGGTACCAAGGGCACTAATGAAAATACTTTTTCCAAATAAATACTATGGTTTCCAATCAGCCACCTTATGTTCATGTGAGACACATGCTCTGAGAAGCTGTACTAGAAAAGTATGCTGGTTAAATAGACAATATTGTGAAACCTTTGACAATCCACTTGCTTAACCTCCTGGACTATAGAAATAAGATCATGCCAGTTAGCTCACAGGGTTTTACTGTGGATGAAATTAAACAATGTGTGTACTTTATTTTACAAATGTGGACTGTTATTATTTTAAATTATTTTTAAAGTTCTTTACAGAGAAATGCTACTATGTATTACTTTGAAATATTCTATAACAATTTTAGACTGTTTAACCTACTTATTACATAGCTAGTTTTTTACCTCTCATTTTATTTGCTGAATTGTTCTAGTAATAAAAATGAGGGGATTTCTTGAAGTTGTCAGTCAATATTTATTCCTCTCAATTAATTTATGAAAAGTTAACATAACTGGAACAATAATAGGGGAATAGAGCATAAAAAATAATCTCCCCTCTGTTTTTCCAGAATATCTAGTATAACTTATAGCAAGAGTTTTCCTTCAAATTAGAAACAAAGGTAATTCAAGACACTATGCAAAGTTCGTATTTAAACCTAGGCTTATGTAGAAAAAAAACATAGAAACTATAGCTATACTTTTAAACATAAGACTAAAATCACAGTAAATAATGAAATAAGGAGTTCTACCTACGCCTTCCTGAAGGAAAGAAAGCGCAGAAGTGAGTTAAGAGTTTTAGCCCACAGTCATCAGTGGAAGGTACTGTAGGCCTCCATTTCCCAATACTGGGGATCTGACATAGAGCTTCAAGCATGTTTAGGCAAGCGTTATACGCAGTCAACTGTTGTCTATCACTTTAATTGGGTCATCACATTTTATGAACTCAAAAACAGCATCAACCTAAAAGTGGGAGTTTGGTTAACGGGAATAGAAGTAAACTGTCCCCCCCCCCGAACCTTAAAATATTACTAAAAACCATTGCTAAAGGATAAAAGTGAGAAGCATTGTGATTCTCTTGTTTCTGGGGACAATTTGATCTTTCTGAAGAGCTGATGATTTAAGAGTTCAAGTTAGAACCAGTCAGTAGGAAGAAACTCTACCAAGGTTCCTTGTGAATCCTGTACACCAAAAAAAACCAACATGTTTTTCCTTTTATTTGGAAGCTAAAGGTCTTGGAAATACATTTTTGTGTATGATAACTTCAAAGACCATGGGTCCAGTATTTTCTTGACATAAACCAACTGTATTAGAATGTGAGACTTCTTTCCTTAATGAAGTTTTTAAAAAATTACTGTGATAACTGAAGGATACTAAAGAGTTTATAATAAAGGAGAAAATTGTATTCATTCATTTTAAGAGAAAACGCTACACTCACAGTCTGCCACTTGGTAATACTGTCCTTAACATTTTAGTATATTTCCTATTTCCCTGCACCATGGTTTGTAGCTGCTGTGCTGTTTTTACATGTAATATTCTATTAACTTTGTCTTGAGCGACTCTTAATGTTAAGAGACACTTCTAATGACAGCAGGGATAGAGGATTCTTACTTACCTGGTTATTTTGGTTGTTTAATGTTGCCCACAAATGACCAAGCATTTAAAACTTTAAAGAGGGAAGTGCTGATAAGATGTACTGCACAGTCTACTTTCTTTTACGGTGCACAGGGAACACGATGAACCTAATTGCATTTTGAAAGAAAGCCTTGGGAACAGGTTCCAGATCCTCATTTGTATAAAATGGTGACAGAAACTGAGGGAGCCTGTAGCCAGTGGAGAAACCCAAGGCCCTAGGCCCAACCTCCAGCACCAAAATAATAAACATACAAACGAAGGTGTCTACTTCACGGCAAGGAGTCAATCAGCTAAGGCATGTAGGTATGAACCGAACCACTTAGCACAAGGAACTTTTGAGAATTCTCAGTTCCCCAAGTCACCCCACCCAAATTGACAGATGACATTAAATGATGAGTGCCTTGTCAAATCTCACTTACTGAGCAGGGACACTAGCAGGATCACAGGGCTCCACTAAGGACAAGGGTTCTCTACCAACTAATTAATTACAAGGCTTCGTAAGTAGCCCTCAGCCCTTTTTTCTGATTGTCCCCTGAGTGTCAGGACTTCTGCAGCAGTTTCTTCTCACTATTGCCAGCATGTTTCTTGTCCTTTCTAGGATTACCTGGCTCTTCAAGAATGGGCAACCTGTTTACCAAGTTTGCCATAACTGTTGAACAGCAAGTCAGTACAGTAAGCTAGAAAGGTTGTGTTTAAAATGGCATGCAAAGTTTGAGTATTGTGAATTTTTTTTAAAATCCGAACATAAAGTTTTACTTTTGCTTTTCCTACAAGATAAAAAAATATGAAACCAATACATTTAAACTCCCTTTGTGTTCTGAGATTAAGGTCAAGTCTGTTTCATCAGTGTGCATTTCTCCTTGCTTTGTGTTTATGAAGATTAATTCCCAGGGCTAAGGTTGTAGCTTGGTAATGGAGTATTTACCTAGCGTGTAGCAGGACCTGGATTCCATCCACAGCACCACAAACAGCAATAACAACAAAAATAATGTTTTTTTCCAGAAATGGCATTAACAGTTTTTCTTACAAAGCATGTTCCAGTCTTCAAGACACCTTGTGTACCAGATTTCATGACTATGTTTAAAAGCGGGCACAATCAGAAGACAGCTCTGGTATGTGTCTTCACTCTAGACAACTTTCGTCACACCAAGAGAAAAGTGGACTACATGGACTTCTAGACTTCAGTAGATGAACTAAGTAAATTTTCACAAAACACTTAGAATAGTGTCTCGTACGGTTAAGTGCCACATGCTTAATAAACTAAATTAAACGACCCACAAGGGCTCTGACTTGAATGGCGCTTAGAGCAACTTCCAAACGTCTGTACCAGGACCACCCAAGCCAATCCTACGGAAGTCCACTTGACCACAGAGAAAGTTACATATTTTCAGGAAACAAAAAAAAAAAAGGCAAAAACTGCTACTCTCTTGGGTCAAACTTAAGTAAACAGTGGCAACTGTATATGATGGCTTCCGAAATCCGGAGCATCTCAGTTTTAGTGACAAGCTAGGATCTAGTCTCATTTCCAAGATTAGAATGGTGAGGCTTGGGAAGGCAGGGCGGGTTAGCCCTGGTTCGAGCCACCTTGTCTGTCCCTTTCAAGCAAGGCCCCTCCTTCAGCTGAGGAGAGGTGGGGACAGCCAGGGCACAGGGGCTTAACGGTCGCCTGTGGGTTCGGCACTCACCTGTACAGGGGCCCAAGCTGGAGCAGGTGCATGAGCAGCGACAGTGGGCGATCGCGGCTGAGGTCGCGATGGACGAAGAGGAGCGTGAACTGCACCAGGGCGCAGGGCATCAAGGAGAAGAGCAGCGTCAGCGCCTGCCACATGCGGTCCCCTCCGGAGCGGTAGGTGCTGCTCAGGTAGAGCGCCGCCGCCGTCTCCGCCACGAACAGGAACACGGACGCTAACACCGAGGCCGGGAATTTCATCTCCGCGCCTCAGACTCGCCCCGCCGGCGGCGAGCGGGTGGTGGCGGCGGCGGCGGAGGCGGCGGAGGCGGCGGTGGCGGTTCCCCGAGCGGCTCGCGCGCAGCACAGCCCGCTGAGGGCACGCGGGCCCCGGAGCGCGCTGCAGCCCGGCCTGGGGGCAACCGCCACAGGGGGCGGGGCGGGGCGGGCAGCGTGGCCCCGCTCGGACACGCCCACGCGCACCGTGCGCAGCCGCCGGCGCGCGCCACACCGCTCGCGGCCCGCTCTTCAGAGACTGTTCCGGGCGGGCCGCGAACCCGCAGCTTCACAGTCCCGGCCGCCCGCCCCGCTGGTGCAAAGGCCCCTAGGAAGCCGTCAACCGAGCTGGCTCCCCTGCAGCCTCTGGGTCCTAGAGTCCGTTTGTTCCGGGCCGTGTTGAGAGCCCGGTGACAGTCAATTCAATAAACAGCAACCAGTAGAAACCAGAATTGGGGGCGGGGGAGTCTGAGCTCCAGCTCCACGGAGGGTTTACTGGCGGAAGAAAAGCCTGATGAAAAAGTTCAGCTTGTCATGCCGTTCCAAAATAGCCAGAGCCACTGAGATGCTTTTCAAAGAGCAAATGTCTTGTCATGCACTCGACATACTGGGAACTATGGTTAACCTTTCACTGAAACTTCTTGAACACGTCCTTTGTCTTTCTAGTCCAGACTGGGTAGGAGCATCAAAGGAGTTGTGGGGAGCTAAAGTTTTCTCTCCCAGATAAAACTACTTATAGACTATATTGCTGTACTACTGTGACTAACTCCAGACAGGTCAAAGACCGGAGCCTAATAAGGAAACAGTTTTCTAGCCCAATGCATACCTCTGTTGGTATGCCAACCCTCTGACTAACACAATTCTTTCACCCACTGTTTATTTAAAAGGTTTTAATACAATATATTCTGAATATATTCTTTCCCCTATCCCACTCCTCCCAGATCCTTCTCACCTTCCTACCCACCAAACTTCATGCTCTGTCTCAAAAAAACAACAAACACCTATAAAGGCAAACGGTAAGACAAAAAATGTCAAAGCCAACAAAACGAAACAAAAAGTGCAGACAAATCAATCAGAGTCCGTTTTGAGTTGGCACACTATTCCTGACTGATAAACTCACTGGCACTCAATTGGAATAATAATAGTAACAACAACAAACAAACAAACAAACAGAATTCTCCCTTCCAAGCATGTCTCAATCACAAATGCCTTCTTCATTAGGAGTTTGACTTTGTGTTCACTTCCCTAACTCACTGCTGGGATTTTGTCTAGTTTTGATCTATGCGGGTCCTGTGTACATGTACTAAACACTTGACAAACTTCTGGACATCAAGATGGACTCACCCCTGACCCTGCCCCCACCCCCACCCCACCCCAACACATACACACACTCACACCCTCTAAGGTCATTTTCCATGAAGAAATTGGATGATTTTAAATTTCAGGCATCTTGGGCTTTTTTCTACTTTGCAAAGTGATAGAAATACAAATAAAATGTGAAGATTCCTAAGATAGCAAGACAAGAGTAACCCTAAAGGAAGAGGCCGAGTTGGGCTGTTTTCCTTGGTTGGTAGAGTGACATCAGGAAATCTATTTATAAGGGTTGAGGGGAGAATTCAGCCAAGGCCTGAGAAGTACCAGGCCCTTTCTCCAAAAGGATTACGAAGGCCTATTTATAGAGCCCAGCAGGCTACCATGTCCTGGATGCAGATACACACAGTAACAAACAGAACAGATAGCAGCACTCCACGGAGGATTTGTGTAATATTTTATTTGATACCGTACTTAGCTTTAAAGGAAAATTAACAGTGGAGCTAAGAATTATTAATTAGAACACAGAAATTATTTAGCATCTAACTTTAAGGCAAAGGATTATCACAGGTTTTACATTATTAAGTGGACCGACTGTGTAGAGCAGGCAGGCAGTAAGCCAGAGACATCACTTGCAACACAATAAAGTCCACTTTATGGCAGATTATTTTCTACAGTACAAAACTACTACAGAAAACACACTGGAAAGATCACAGGGTTTGGGGATGTGGTAACAGCAGGGAAAAAATAATAAGGTGCATCGCTAAGTTTCCGAGTCTGTTTTGCTTCTGAAGAGATTTCATTACACCATGCAGTGGATTGTGAGCAACCCTCTCTGTGAAGCTGAAGCAAATTCAACTGACAACTGTCCTTCCTGCCCTTGGAACAACAGATAGCAGAAGCTACACTCTGCTGAGCATTTATAAGTTGATCTTTTCTGGTAATGGTCTGCACATCAACCTATCACAAAGACCATGTCTTTCTGAATTGTCACTTGCCGTTTTATCTTTGAGAAAAACATATACAATCATAGCTTAGTTTCCCTGCCCAACACTTAAGTAGATTTTCATTTAAAAAATCAATGTCATTTTTTTGCAATATACTTCCTCACTAGGACCAAAACACCCAGTATTTTTTTCTAAAAAATGTGCATATATAATAATAGACTGACAGGAAGTGATGTTTGGGTATAACCATATGTAATATGCCAGAATGCTTGAGAATTTGGTTTTATTATAAAATATCATAGTAGGACATGTTGTAATATAGTAAAATGCTTAGCAAAATATTTTTCACTAAATTTAGAAGTAACTGCTACTGATATATCTTTCAAACACTTCAATGTACCCTAAAGAAACACAATAATTAGCAAGAAGTTAAAGAACTTGATTTTGGCAAAAAAAAAAAAAGGCATTTTTACAATGCCTCTCAACTGGTGTGCGAGTATCTCAAAATTCTTGTTAGCTCCAACAGATAACGTGTTGAATTTGATGTTAGTAAAAATTAAAAGGACTTTAAAAGTACTCATAACTAATTCCTCTTTAGTTTATTTTTTAATAATTTTTGTTTTACTTGTAATTATGTGGAGAAATACAGCAAAGAGCTCAACTTTATTACCAATGCTCATTTCTTGAGCAGTCTTCAAAATTCAAGCGTTCATTAAACTCTGGTGCTTGGTTACTCTTAGGGATAATTGTGACACTTTACTATATAATGCTGCTCCAAAAGATTATGGAATTGCACTGGTTTGCTGCTTATGACACACATCATTAGGAAGATGAGCTTTTTAACTCAATCATGATACAATCTTATTTTTATAAGTAGTGTTAAAAGTGCAGAAATGAAAACCCTTTTGGTGAAGTAGATTCTATTCACTCCAGTATATAATGCTTGACCATTCCCCACTTATATATGGCTTTTCAACATGTTTCACTGAAGTCTACAAAATCCATTTTAAAAATTCTGTTTAGTTCCACTACATCCAAGAAATGAAAATTCAGACCTGTCTTCTGAGAGCTCTCCAAGAAGTTTCCAGTTGGAGATGCTCTTACGTTATTCGAGACTAAATTGTCTTTTACCAGATTCTGAGACCACACTATTGCACTAAGAGTACTCCGTTCTTACTTATGAAACACCTATATAATACAAATTATATTGAATTTTCAAGAGCAAAAGGAGTCTACTGCTGCTACAGTCTTCAGAAGACACCCCTATTAAAATACTAAAGTCCTAGGAGACGGAGACAAGACTGATTATTTGAATCAATCTGCTTCTATAAATATATAAATATTACTACATTCAACTTGGACCAAATTCAGTGGCACAATTTATTTTACTCATAATTGCCACTTATACACAGATATTAAAACATCAGGGGATGGTATCAGACATCCCAGTAAAATGTGTTGTAATAGGGACATTTGCAAAGACAGTAGACACATATAGAATTTGTGTCTTCTTTTAACTGATTGCTAAGTCACAACTACTTGACACACAATGCAAGGTTATACATTGAGGAATATATAACACACAAAAATATGAAGAAAAATTCAGCAGAACTGCACTATTCTATATGTAGGAATTCTGTTTACACATAAACACACTCAGGTGTTTCTCCCCATCTCTGTTCTTTTGTAATACTCGACATTTCTGAAAGCATGAGAAGAGGGAGGGTACTGGGGTCCTTTTGAAGGATCTATGTCTATATGCCAGACCCTAAAGTCCCAATTCATTAATACTTTCAAGTTACAAAGTAAGGCGGGGGAGGGATATTGCACTTCCAATCAAGAACTTACGACCACGGCAAAGTCCATGGAGGAACTGCTTCAGTTTTTGTCTTTTCTGGCACTAAAAACAATATGACCAACCCCTTTTATGGAGTGGATGCAAGATACACACAGCCACTACCTTATTCTCACTGCACAGGCATTCTTGTGGCAGCTTGTCTTGAACTTGCGATCTGACTACAGAATAGTCCCAAGTCTTACAGCTACTGACCTTGAGGTCATTTGTTTAAAAAAAAGAGCTTCTAGACCACAGCAGCCATCCTTCTGGGGTAAATTCAGAAATTTCTGAGGTGCAAACACCATAGTCAGAGTTGGTTGTAGAATATAAAATGTATATACTTGAAATTTACCCATCTAGTGAGCTGGACCTTAAGCACTGCATAGACATATGACATGTGGTTGTTTTTAATATTAACTGAGCTTAATTTTCTATGCACATAGTAGGAACTCAAAATATAGAAGCCTTTTTAAATAATAAAGAGCCTTTATGTTACAAATAACCCTATGGCAACCCTGTGATATATACAAGGCACCTACAGTGTCCCCAAGAAAGCTACAGAACAAGGCTTTGGAATGTCTAACATGGTTCTCTGGGTGTTTCTGTTTCCTTCTAATTGTGTCCTTTCCCTTCCCTCTCCTCTCCTCCCCTCCTCTCCCCTCCTCTCCCCTCCTCTCCCCTCCTCTCCCCTCCCCTCCTTTTCTCTTGTTTCTGATGGTAGGCCTAGAGCCTAGGGCTGCATGCATGCTAGGTAGGTCTCCTATTACTGAATTACACCCTCAACCTGTGTAAATTTCTTAGCCTAGTTATTAATCCCCAACTCATATTTTTTGCACCAAAATTACTGAGATATACTCTCTACAGAAACCAAAACAATCTGCATAACGCTTTGATTAAAATCTCAATGAAAGCTAAAGAAGTAAGTTGCCAGGGGAAGAGATGGGATTCGTTACACACCAAGTAAATTGTTCTATCTGTGTAATGAATTATCATACATGAAAACTATTATCTTAACAACATAGTCAATTGCCTGGAAGGGAAAAATGTGGGACATTCGCATTGTTAAACTTCTATTCTCTTCAAATATCAGGTTACAAGTTGAAAAGAAGTACAACAGCCATGAGATTAGGTAAAATACATATAGATAATGTGTAGAGGCAAAAGTATGTGACTGTGTTCATGCCATGAAACCACGATGTTATACAAAATTTATTGCTATTGGAGTATAATGCGGTCTCCCTCCTTGTTGTTAAGACTCTTTTACCCTCTAACATGTCCACTCAGCATTCCCTTTCCTTTCCTCCAGAGTTAATAGTATTAAAGCTTGGATAGTGATGGAAATGCAGTTGTAAGAGATGGGAGGGTGGCTCAGCAGTTAAGAGCATGGTTCTCCATCTTGCTGGAGACCCAAGTTGGATTTCTATTCCCAGAATTCACATCAAGTGGCCCGGAGCTGCCTATAACAGCCCCAGGTAGATATAACAGCTCTAACATCAACAGGCACCAGCACTCTCACACATGTATCTACATGCATACATGGAATCAGAAATAATAAAAATAAATAGATCTTTTAAAAATGCCTCAATGGCCTTCAATAGGGAGCAAGCTTTAATATTAAGAATGTTGCCAAATGACATGACGTACTTTCCTATTGAAAATGTTAAGTGTCTTTCCTCCCTCTCTTGGGAGAATAAGACAGAAGAGGACCTTTCCAAATCAACAGTGCTTTTCTTTCAGGAGAATAAAGTTTCAATGATAGGTTTAACAGTCAAAAAAAAGGGGGGTGTATTTTTGTTTCAAATTTACTGAGGTGGTGCTTACAGAATGACCACATCCAAAAATGACCATTTTTTAGATATGATATACAAAGAGTGACCTTTTCAGTGATCAGCACAAAGCTATAATCACTCTATCACAACTTCAAAAGATAGGTCCAGTTGTTTCTAAAGCTCCTAGAAATCTAACAGATACAACACATCTATGTATCCTATACCCTAATTTTTGATGGTTATTATCTGTAGTCTATGGAGCCCATGCAAAATGCATTTAAAATGAGACGATGAAGCAGATGTCACTGTCCTTTCAGAAAGGAGGCCATTGTGTAGATAAGATCTTCCTTAAGGCTTTCCAAAAGGTGCTTGCCGTCCTCAAGAAGGAACTTCTGGAGTCTAATTAAGTTTTACCCCAAACACTCTTCTCACAGAAAAGCAATTGAAGCCAGTTTCATATGTTGAAATCTGAGGGTATGAAAATGGAACAGTAAGCCAAACAAGATACATACTTTACAAAAATTATTTTGTCCCAGCTCGTGTTGATGATTGTAAACATACAAAGAGCCATAAAATATAAAAAGACAGTTCTCCTTTTTTTGGTAAGATTCTTTGAGAATCTTATGAATACAAGAGGTCTTCTTTTCCAAAATAGGATCACACATACACCATGCATCCAAACCCACATGAATCCATTGGTTCATACAGCTCCACAAGCCAGCACACACACAAATGGTTCCAGGCAGCAGAGTATTATCTAATTCCCCAAAAAAGTCTAACTATAGTTCAAATAGTGCTTCAGTTTATATGGGGATAGATGTAGCATATACACACATGTACTTATGTATAGAAACATATCCAAATATCTAATGACTACAAATAATGACATTGTATATGGCACAACTGTCTTCTTAATATGATTCTGAACTTCAGTGGTTAAATATCAGGACTGCGGAAATCTCATGTTCTGCATATTGACAGTTGTTCCTATTAGTGGTCAGCAATCCACTATGGACTTGTGACATTTTTATAACTTGTGTTTGTAGCAGAAGTAAACTAGATGTGATAACTAGAATCAACCAGCATGATAGCCAATCTCTAGCGTTTCCTGTGTTTTGCAAGGTGAGGTGACAACCCAGGGAGTTCATTCCACTCTTAATCTAACAGGAGGAAATGGAGCAACATTCTTTCTAGAAGCACTTCAAGTTTTCTCACCCCTTGTCTTTCACAGAATTCTATGAAATACAGAAATGACTTACCTTTGTGGTAAGTTACCCTGATGTTTGAGATGATTGATTTTCACCGAGAGCATATTTTACAATCTAATAGCTTCATACACATTACAAAGATAAAGGCATTTGAAAAATTACTAGCATACACAACATATGGGTCACACTTTCAGTTGAGACAAACACATAATAGTGACACTTATTTACTAGATATAAATTTTCCTGTCTTCTTTTTTTTAAATTGTTTTGTTTTCTTTGTTTGCTTGCTAGGCATGGACCAGGGGCCTGTGCACATTAAACAAGCTACACTCTAAGCTAGTAAATTTAGACCCTGTCACTAAGCTACACTCCTTCCTGCCCTGAATCTTACTATTCTGAGCTCTAGGAAAGAAAAAGGAACTAGGAAAAGAGATATCCTAAGGCCTAAGGCAGCATCAAATTTCAGTGTTCAAAATAAGTTATGATATGATGTTTTTTTTAAATGCCCAGAATAGTGGTTAAAAAAAATAAGATAAAATAAAAACCCGGCAGACGTATCCACATATCTCCACTCAGAAAAACATGAATTTCAGTAAGTAAAGGCCTAGGACAACCAATGGTTTCTTTGCATGTCCTTCATCCTTACACTTGATCCCTGCTAACAGTTTTTAACAGGGCAAAAATCTTTTAGATTCTGGTTGTCTTTACTTCTGAATTTAGGGGTATTGTGTATACACAGATGGTCGTATTTACTGTTCAGTTTTGAAAGCGTTGGCATTTTACCCCCATCATCTCCAGTTCACTTTTGCCTTTTGTGTCACGAACTGAAAAACATTAAATGTTTTTCCCCTTTTCTCTTTGATCTTGGGTTGGACATCTCTCCCCTGAAACGTTAAATCAATGGGTTTTAGATGAGTTGCGGGGGCGTCTTGGTTTGGCAGGCTCCCTCTGCAGTCTGGTGTCACGCTGTCCTCATCAGACATGTCTCCTCCATCTGGCAGCAATGGGAAGGTTCGTGGTCATGAGACCATTGGATGTGGATTATCAGGAAAACTGCCTAGAGGAGGCTCCGGAAATCTCAGGGGACTTCCACCGACTGCAAGGAGAGACAGACCTTTTAAACAAAGACACTGAAGAGAGGAAACTCAGCCTGATTGGGCTGTAGCAAATCAATGAGAAAGCAAACAGTCCCGGAGAAGCCTTCATACAAACTGTATATGCTCTCAAGGACCCGGGAACCAGCTTTGAATTCTTCAGTGAATAAGAACTGAGCAAACCTGAGAAGAAGAAGAAAAAAAAATGTGAACAGTTTTAAAACAAATGTGTCCATATGACCAGCCACAGAAGGCTGTCCTTCTTTTGTGAAGTTAAAAGTTTTAGTGTCGTTTTCTTATCAGAATTATATAATTAATTTAAGAAAACTCCATTATCTGGAGAAAAGAAAAGGTTATATAAGTGCTTATCTTTTGCAACAGGTTTTGTTGGCAAACAAATCCAACTATTTTTAGAAGTTGCAAATCAAAGCACATTGGTATTTTCTACGATTCTATTCCTTCCACGGTCCAATATTTAAAAATATAAAAAGTCAGCATAAATCATTCTACTTTTATTTATCTTGAACTGAAGCAAACTGATACAGCACTGATCTTTAAAACTAAATCTAAATATACTGTCTTTCTGGAGACATATTGTTTCTGAACTAGGTTTGTTCATTTATATGTGACAGACAGCAGAGGCTGATAATAAATATGCAGCATTTTACACAATCTGTTTTGGGCAATAAAGGACTAAGATGAATGGGTGAACGCAAGCAACTTTTCATAATGATGACGACAAATAGCAAAGTCAAGTGTGTGGCATTATTGTTAAGACAATACTTTTAAAAGCCTGACCTCTAACCTCTACACACTTGAAGGAAACCATTGTATAGCCTTTCAAGTGCTCTCACTTGGGTCATTGTTCTGTACTGGTTTTATTCCTTTTATTTTTTCAAACATAATCACCAATTCTGACACTGGTGTCTACCAGAGAGTTGGTACTGTCATAAATTTAAGATTACTGTTGCCACACAGGGGTCCTATAAAGAGTAATTACTTATTTAATCTTTTGTGGGGCACTTGGAATTATTGCAGGCAGGTTAAATACACAGGGAGGAAATAAACTGCAATCCCATTTGTTACTGATGTCTATCATCAGCTTTTATTGAATGTATAACCATTTAAATAAGATTGTACACTCTTAAACAGCCCCCAAATAAGGTATTTTAAGAATCAATTCAGTATATGTATCATTATGTGATAAATAGGAATTGTGAAATGACTGGTGGGGGTACCCTGCATCTTTTGAATGTGATGACTTATTTGGCAGTCTGGATATATCAGAATTGTCCTCAAATGTATAAAATGTAATTTGTAGAATTCTAAAAGAACTCAACTATAGTAAAGCACAGTTCGTGAATTTGTTGTTGTTGTTGTTGTTTGATTGATTGATTGATTTTTGTCTTTTTTAGATGCTGGGGATTAAAGCCAGGACTTTGAGCATGCTCTATTGTTGAGCTACAAGCCCAGCACCAGTTAAAAAAAAATTGTAACCAAGCCAAACGTGTGGTATAGTTACATGCATCCTTTATTAGCACAATAAATAGCACTATCTAGCAATGGCTTCATAAGTACTGGTGGCATTTTTAAGTACTGAAGGATATAAAGTATATTTTGCACAACCTGCACCAAAAGTAGTTGAATGTGAGAATACTTCTACCAACTGCAGAGGTATAGCTGTTGATAAACTTCCATGAATTTAAAGATTATAACACTAAATGACTATAATCCAGTTTGAACATACTCACAAACCCCAGACATAAAACCCCTTAAGGATAAAGAGCTTTGAGTTGAGATATTTGATTTTATGTTATATGATATATAATGGGCTTTCACAAACGAGTAAGCATTAGTCAAACAAAAACTAAATTTTTACTTAATGTGTAAATGTTTCTTGACAAAATATCTGTAAAACAAAACCAGTCCGTCACACTGTAAAAGAAAGCATCGCTAAAACCGTGGTTTCCTGCACTTTTTACCTACTAATGATACAATGAACATTTTCTGTGCTTTTAAAAATAATTTCTAAGCACTGCATAGCAGTTCGTTTTTGAAAAATGTTGTTAATAGTAACGTGAAAACTATTGTTTCAAAATTGTGCCCAATGTTCTCCAAATGAAATTAATCAAATAATTTTCTAAACAATTCTCAGTCAAGATAGAAGCCTGAATAGTAATTATGGAGCCAAAAAGAATGGACAATACTGGCCACAGTACATATAAAAATATAGTAGTTCTAGCTTTAAAAACATGAGCAAGAAAAAGTCATCATTTATAAATTATTACTAACTGATGATGAGAGGCTATCTACTTACACAGTTTAAGCTCTAGACAATAACACAAAAGAAGGAAGGAAGCCAGCTAGCCATGGAGAATGGGCACATTGTAGGGCAGTACAGGGGTAGCAAATTAGAAAAATGTATAATGATACATGTGCATGAATATGTCATAATGAAAAACATTACTTCATATGCTAACTTTAAAATCATCTAAAAGTTGCAATAGAAAAAGAATATTGGGAAATCAGGGCTGAAATTAATGAAGCAGGAAGCAAAAGGGAAAACTAAATAAAACTAATGAACAAAACCAAGAACCTTTTCCTTGAAAGGACAAACAAAAAAAAAGCGAAAAATGTTAGTGTCTCTTGACAACTACAAGGAGCACTGGGAAGACCATCACATGTATGAGAAACCACAGACATCACAGCAATGTGCTACTGGAGCACTACGCCAAATGTATCAACAACTGAAAAACCCTTCTTACCCTGGATGACCACCAGTCATCTAAAGTAACCTACATGTTAGGCTGAGCCACTGGGTGAGTTTGTGGGCCACTAACAGATAAAGAAATCAAAACACAAGAAACTAGTTGGTTTTATGGAAATAGAATTGCTAGAAAAAATAGAAATAAAAGCTTCCCCAATTTTTTTTCCTATGGCCATAATTTTCAAACTGCATGCTAAAAGAGCAATCTATGATGACCAAATAATGTTTCTTCTGGAGAGGCATATAGGTTTTTGTCAAACATTGCTCTTCCTAGAACGGAAAGTCTCTCCAATTTGTATCATATTTAATTTTGAAGTATAATGATATGTAAAGTTCACTACTCAGAGCAATAAAGTTCAATGCCAAAACAACACTGAAATATTACCTCCATTTTATAATCTTCTACCTGTGAATGAGAAGTTGACATTTTATAGGGAGCTCGAGAATTCAAAACGTCATAATTATAGCTCTGGACACTCCGGTTGGCATGCCAGGTAACAGAGAGGTTCACTGAATCTTCTCAAATAGATGTTTTAGGGCATAAGGACCTCTGATAAAGCTTGTCCAAGGGATGAACCCATTTTCCTAGATTATGCCCTAATGACTCTCTTTTGATTCCTTTGGAAAACAACACATCAGATTTCAACGAATGTTAGAGAGCTGTGTCATTTGTGTACTAGCAAGCACTGTACCACTGAGCCATATTGCCACCTGTCAATTTTACTGTTTGGAGACAGGGTCTCAACTAGTTGCCCAAATTGGCCTTGTCTTCCCTTTTGTAGCACAGGAAGGTTTTGAGTTTATGATCCTCCCACATAAGCCTCTTAAGTGGCTACAATTACGGGTCTGCATCATTACCCAAAGCAAATAGAAGGCTCACACGTGCTAGCCAGTATAGTCCCTTCAGAACACATAGGCAAATATTAAAGATATTTTATATTTTATTTTTTAGCACTGATCACTGGCTACATTATGACTAGAAGACCTTTCTGGGTCATTTAAACATTTGAAGTGTTAGGAAATATATGGACAAAGGGAACATTATAGGTAGAAGGGCCTAGGAGCTAAATGTAGCCATGCTATAGAGAATAAGGAGACAGATGTAGGAATGGAAAATTGTAAATGGAGAGGACCAAAACGTAAAAGGGCTTGTGGTCTACCGTATGTGGCATACTAAAGGAATCACAAGAACTTCAACATGGTGGAGACAGCAATGAGAAAGAGCATAGGAGATGAAATCAAAGGCAAATGGAGCCTAGGTCCTGGAGGACTTCTAAATCAAAGGCAGACTTTGGCCTTTAACTTCAGTCACAGTGGAGATGTAATGGATTGCCTTAAGCATGGGAGGACTGTTATAACATGATAGACATTATCAAAAGTAAATATAGAAGATCATGGTGAAATGGAAGGTTCCTAGTGTAATCAGCATGAAAGCTATGATGTTTTCCGTCCCTCTTATTAGTAAAGCTTCTTATGGGGATGCACTGTTACAGGGAACTCGGATAAACAGAAAACCAGAAAGAGCATGACTGCCTGTCAGTAAGGAAGTTACAGTCATAATTAGTTGCACATAATGTGCATGTATATTTAGAAAACCCAATGGACTTTATTTAAGAACCGGTAGGACAAGAATGGAATCAGCAATTTCTACGAAGTCTATGATGACAGTATTTATGAAAACTTAGATACTTACAAGTTACAATGCAGAGTTACATGAAAAATAGAAACCTGATAAACTGTACTAACATACATGGTTTTTAAAAATTTTTAATAAACACCAGTAATAAATAGCCTGAAATATGAAGCTTTAAGAAAAATTTCATTTATAATAAACTTGGAAATAAAACAAAAATTTTTAATGCTAACAAAAATTATAAAGATACTTTTTATAAAATCAAGAATCAGTCAGGTGACATTTTAAAAATGTGAATAAATGGAAAGTTATACCATGATCTTGAATGGGAAACCTTGCTATTTTAATAATTCTCATGAAAATAACCTGTATTGCAGTAAAATTCCAGCCAAATCTCATAGGACTGTTTTTTAAAGCTGACAAATGGGTCTTAAAGTTTAAAATGAAAAATAAAATGAGGGAAACTAGTTGGGAAAAATTAGAAGTAAACAATGAAGTATAGAAGCAGCAAAATGGCACATGAATAATACCTAATGCTTTCATATGATACAAAAGGTTAAGAACAGTGGGGAGAAATGGTGAAGAAAGGGGCTGGAGAGATGGCTCTGCCGCTAAGAGCACTGGCTGCTCTTCCAGAGAGCTAGGGTTTCATTCCCAGCACCTAGATGGTAGCTCACAACTGTCTGTAATCCCAATCCTAGGAAATCTGGTTTGCTTTTCTGTCCTCCACAGACATCAGGATTACACGTGATGCACAGACATACACACAGGCAAAACAGCACCACAAATAAAGTAGAATAAAGGACTGTAAGTTACAAAAAGAAATAGCAGTAAAGGAAAATATTTCCAGCACATTTTGAAGACGAGTTATAATCATTAATAAAACCACCTCAATAGGAAGAAAGGGGAGGAGAAGAGGGGAAAAGATAAAGGTAGGTTCATCTTAGACCAAGAAACACTGATAAATGTGAAGATTTCAATTCTAAAATTTTAGGTCAGTGATCAAGTACTCAGTAATAGACTGATTGCCCAGCTAGCATGCATGAATGAGACTCTGGTCCTACTCCCATTACTGGAAATATAAAACTGTATATGGTAATTTAAAAATATTTCTTATATAAATGCTTCTATCACTATAATGTACATATATTGTATATTTTGATTATATTATATGTATATGATATTTGAGGCAATTTTGCCTATATTAGTAAATACTGAACACATATCAAGTTTCTATTATTTAGAAGTTGAATTAATTATGGTACAACTTCATTGAATAATTATTTAGCTGCTTAAAACAATGAAATAAATCCATGCAGACTAAAATTACTCATTTAAAATTGTAAGTTAAAATAGTACATAGAATACCTAAATATATGTATAATAGTCACAGGGGCCTATTGAAAATAGAGAGCTGGGTATGATTTAATGATAAAGTATGTCTTTAGCATGTGTGAAGCCTTGGGTTTAATTCCTAGAACCAAAATTTAAACACACACAGACACATTGAGTGTCTATGCAGATATATGCCGATACATACATGTATGAATATATATACATATATACATATATATACATATATACATATATATATGCATAGACTAAACGTAGGAATGATAAAGCTCAAATTTATAGTTATAACAACAGTTAACCCTTACATAAATTTACTATATTCCAGGCATTACTTAAAATGATTTCCTTGTATTTGCAAGTCCCTTTTTATAATAAAGCTTATAAAATTAAAAACCAATTTTCATGTTTTAACGTATTTAAACCAGCCAATAGCCCTGAGAAATGAACATTATTTCTGATATGCTACAAATGAGGAAGTTACATGACTAATTATGGTCACATGGCCAATATGATTCTGAACATATCCCTTTAAAGGAAATTCTCACAACCATGGTGGAGGACTATTCTTTGGGCTTTACCAAGTGACAACTCAGATACAAGGGAATCAAATCAGATGGGTGGAAGATAGTGAGAAGCCTCCTAGTTTAAAAGACGTAAGTGCCACACAGAAAACTCCAGACCTCTTGTGACAATATGGACAGCTTCCAAGTGTCCTCAAAGGGAATACTGATTTCATGCTGCTCAGTTGTCTAGCAGTTTATTTATAGTCCATTCATAGTTTTTCTGCACAGTGTATATAGTGAATCAGTATGGGGTAACTTCTATTCAAAACAACGCTGCCTGTTCTATGTCTGATTTTCCGTCTTTATCAGGGCTTCATGGAATAAACTACAGAGATTCATTTAGCATTATTAATCCAAATTAGAAGCTATATATATATATATATATATATATATATATATATATATA